TTATCTTTGTCCCTTATTAATCAATTCTTCTCGGATCGCGATTGACTGGCACCGATAATTTTAATCATCTGACTGATATTTAACCAATAGGGGATCGTTTCTATGACTCTAGCGGTGAGACAGAGCACTGGTGGTCCCGAGCTGTCAATCTTCCGTTGAGGTGAGGACGAAAACATTTTCAATATTTTTATTTTTATAAAACTGAATGGAACTGAAAACTCTAAGGCAATACCTTGTGTCGATGGTGTTGTCTTTAGAGTGGCATTTGTCCATGTRGCATGCGTTGTCTCTTCTACACATATTACATATGCTCATTTTCAGTGATTTCTAATTGCATGTTAGGATGTTAGAGCGCATACTCTATGGAAAACTTTAGCCAGATAGGCATAGCTTTTAGTAATTAGATAGTGCTGAATTATACTGAGATATGTCGTGRAATTTTGGTTTACTATTATCCAATCCACATTATATTGCGCTATTTCGCACTGTTTTGGAAACAAATAGTAAAGTATCACAGCAACTTCAATTATGGAAGATGAACAAATACCTGTACTTGAATTTGGCCAAGTCCACGGATACTTCGTAGTTCTTGCTCCCGCTATAATGAGCGAAGACGTTCGTTAGAGTAAAGAAACGCGAGCTATCATAAATGAGTTACTATTATTTAGTGTGGTATCCAACAAGCATTCAATGTGATCGTGATTTATACTTTTTATGGGACTCCTTAATAATCTTTAAAAATTGCGCAAATTTTAAATTTGAAACAAATTGCGCATGGTTTTGAGTTGTATGTCAGTGGGTTCACTGCAAAGTTTTGAACATCTTGTGACGTCAAGAGTGTGTCAGTAAGAGGATATACAACGAATGACCGTGCGCAATTTTTTTACCACATTTTTAAAAGTCTAAAACTTAGCGAAAACAATTCTTTTCTTTCGAATGAGCGCGCGCGTTATTGATGCGTTAGATAAAATTCATACTTCTTTGAGTCCTTGAAACACTACAAGCATTGTATGATATGTAATTATGTAAGATGAATTGAGCAGTATTACCTCTATTGCGATAGTATAGCCAAAACCCGCGATATGTTCTTAACCAATCAGAAATAAAAGTAATGTACACCTGAGTAGTTGAGTTGTTTATTAACGAGTTATTGGGATAAAGGTTTCCACTAAAGCGGCCAACCAAAGGAGATGAACTTGAATTGCCGTGATAAACGCGAACGAAGTCGCAGCATTTTTCGATAGAAAAGTCTTGAATGGAAAGATCGATATCTCCTGAATAAGATGTTAACAACCAAATGCAGTGTTGACGGTTTCTGTAATGTGAAGGGTAGTTAGGCGACGTGATGTGACCTGAGTAAATGGATCTATYGGTTGTTCCAGGACAATTGGCATAGACTGTTATACCTATGAAATTGACAGAAACAATTTTTACTAACGTAACAAATAATGTATAGGGAAATTATCAGTGCGGTTACGGAACGTTTCAAAGCACAAAGTGGAGTATGGGTGCCACCGTGGTATACACTGACCGGTCCGGTACTATATGTGGTTTGAGTTTGTAAGCTGGCTAGGTCTCTCCCTTGCTTCAAGGGTTTTTCTCCAGGTGCGCTGGTTTTCCTTCCTTAACAACTAGCTGTGAGGAGCGTGTTGAATAGTAAAATGATGAATGTTGAGGTGGTGAGTGTGAGTAAATATATAGAGCGGATTTCGTATGAGTGGGACACCGTTACCGCACGGTTACCGCACAGTTACCAGACCTGGCCAAGTGTGCACAATTTTTGTGAACCAATGAAGCACTAGAATTTTGTTACAATACGATTACGTTTGCAAAAACTACAGAGGTATACTCTACTATCGATCTTATCAAAGAGCAATAGACGGCCACAGGAGAGAGACTCCGCATGACTTCTTGATCACATAGTCGCAGTGCGCCGACCAACTGAGGTCCGAAGAGATGTACACTCCCAGAAGTTTGAAACAAGAGACAGACTCGATGACTGAACCTCCAACCGCTATTGGTTGGCATAAAGAGAGAATAACTTCAGAAAACGAAATTTCGTTAAGATTTCTTACCAGCATGCAATGTTGTTAGTAAATATGTTAATTGCCATTACATTAAACTCAAGAAACGTTTGAAACGAATGGAAAAAGAATGACTTTAAAAAAAGAATGGAAACTATATGAAAATCGGAAAACAGCAATTGAATTTTATGATACAAAGAATTTTCTTAAATGTGGTGGACTAGTTTTCTTTTAGAGACAAGTGAAACAGATAGGACAAAGAACTTTGACCGAAAAGGACCTCAAATTCTCAATTCATATTKCATATCTACTTACCCGTGTAAATATATATCAATGAAAACCCACGACTTGTGTGCAACCGATTAGAAGTAAATGTAATGTACATCTGACTTGACGAGCTGTTTACTTTCATGTTGTTAGGATCAAAGTAGTATCCACTGAAATGACCAATTACTGGCGATCTAGTTGATTTACCATCATACACCCGGACGAAATCATCGTATCCATGAGTAGCAAATTGTTCAAAGGTAATCGAGATAATTCCTGTATTTGCTGTTAACAACCAATAGCAGTTTTGATTATTTTCATAGTGGTTAGGGAAGTCAGGTGACGTGATGCGACCGATGCCATAGGTTGTTCCAAAACAATTGGTTTTGACCGTTATACCTGTGAATACAAGCATCGAAATTATTCAATAAAAAATCATTGACTAGGCCAGTTATATCAACTACACTATGAACGAAACGTAAAGGAAAAAAGTATTTTTTTAAAGTTGTTAAAACAGACAACGTGCGTCGTGTTTCTCATCCGGCCCAATCCCCTTCGAGGGGGCTTGATACTCGGCCTCAGGCAATCAGGCTTATCCCCAGTGTCTACATCACGATCACGTTGCAGATGGAAAACACGTCGCACGGCAAAAATAACCACAAATTTGCACTCAGAAAGCATGAAAGTTTATTTCTTAACATAAAAAACTAGATTATAAACCCTCAAAATAACGCAAATATCTGTGTTGAAAATAGCCTAAATTTAAAGTAGATTTCAACGGCTTTTAGCCAATATTCGCCGTAGGAKGCCTGGAGCCGACCTCTCTTCTCAATAGTCTCTCTTGTAATTTATGCACGTAATTAGTGATTGACCTGCTAATTATTATATGTACTGGTTCTTTTTTACAAAAATAAACATTTTCAAAAAGTAGAACG